CCTAAACCCTAAACCCTAAATCCTAAGGCGGCCTTTTTTTGTGGGGTGGGGGGGGGGGGGGTTCTTGCATTTCAGAGCTTCTTGAGAGCCCGTCATGTGGGGGTCCCCTGTCTCTAAATAAAATACCCCTTTTAAGAATAGAATCCCTACCCCTATATCGGAAACCCCAGTTTAGGGTTTAGGGTTTAGGGTTTAGGGTTTAGGGTTTAGGGTTTAGGGTTTGGGGTTTCGGGTTTAGGGTTTAGGGTTTATGTTCAGTGACGTGTTCTAAGTATATTGCTACTTTGTGAAATCGCTTTGCTCTCACTGGGGGCATGACAAGTTCCTAAGCAGTTCCATACACCAACTCGACATGAGAGCTTCTTTGCGCGTGACTTGTCATTTGTAGTTCAACAGAAACCCTACCCTAGACCCCAAACCCTAAACCCCCCTAAACCCCAACCTCTGAATGTATGAAGGCGCGACCAAGAATCAGGGTGGTCTCACCGTGCCACTTTCCTTATGCCTTCATTCCCTCCTTCATTCAAGTACCGTAAGTTTCTCTTGATTTAAGGAAGGGGTCCTGATGTGGAAGGGATATAGACTATGATAGAAACCCAAAGCCCACCTGAACTTAGAACAACTCAGCAGAGACACCGGCCAACGACTCAGCAAGGCACAGGTAAAGGGATGTTTCTGGGGGTGGAGGACCTGTGTGCACCCCCCCACCTCCCAAAACGCTGCCACTCTAGGCACGAAATGGCGAAAGGAACAACTCACAAAGCACGGCTCTTGGACCCAGAACTCCTAACAGAATTTCGAGCCTTAGGGTATCTGAACTCTCTCCCTCTCCCTCTCCCTCTCCCCCTCCCCCTCCCCCTCCCCCTCCCTCTCCCTCTCCCGCTCCCCTTCTCTCTCTCTCTCTCACTCTCGTCCTTTCCCTCTGAATCAACCTACACCAGCACATAATGTCTGGTCTGAATCGGTCTGAATCAGCAAAAACTGTGACAATCCCCAGTCGAAGCCCATAAGCACTTCCGAAAGCAACAACCTCACGCCCTGCTGTACCGCCTCCAAACCCCAAACCCCAAACCCCAAACCCCAAACCCCAAACCCCAAACCCCAAACCCCAAACCCCAAACCCCAAACCCCAAACCCCAAACCCCAAACCCCAAACCCCAACCCCAAACCCCAAACCCCAACCCCCAAAACCCCAAACCAACCCAAACCCCAACCCCCAAACCCAAACCCCAAACCCCAACCCCCCCAAACCCCCAAACCCCAAACCCCACCCAACCCCCAAACCCCAACCCCAAACCCCCAACCCCAAACCCCAAACCCCAAACCCCAAACCCCAAACCCCAACCCCAAACCCCCCCAAACCCCAACCCCCAAACCCCCAAACCCAAACCCCAAACCCCAACCCCAAACCCCAACCCCCCCCCAAACCCCAAACCCCAAACCCCCCCCCCAAACCCCAACCCCAAACCCCAAACCCCAAACCCCAAACCCCAACCCCAAAACCCCAAAACCCCAAACCCCAAACCCCAAACCCCAAAACCCCAAACCCCAAACCCCAAACCCCAAACCCCAAACCCCAACCCCAAACCCCAAACCCCAACCCCAAAACCCCAAACCCCAAACCCCAAACCCCAAACCCCAAAAAAAAACCCCAAACCCCAAACCCCAAACCCCCAACCCCAAAACCCCAAACCCCAAACCCCAAACCCCAAACCCCAAACCCCAAACCCCAAACCCCAACCCCAAACCCAAACCCCAAACCCCCCCCAAACCCCAAACCCCAACCCCAAACCCCAAACCCCAAAACCCCAAACCCCAAAACCCCCAAACCCCAACAAACCCCAAACCCCAAACCCCAACCCCCAAACCCCAAACCCCAAACCCCCAACCCCAAAACCCCAAACCCCAAACCCCCAAACCCCAAACCCCAACCCCCAAACCCCAAACCCCAAACCCCCAAACCCCCCCAAACCCCAAACCCCAAAAACCCCAAACCCCAAACCCCAACCCCAAACCCCAAACCCCAAACCCCCCAAACCCCAACCCCAAACCCCAAACCCCAAACCCCAAACCCCAAACCCCAAACCCCAAACCCCCCCAAACCCCAAACCCCAAACCCCAAACCCCCAAACCCCAAACCCCCAAACCCCAAACCCCAAACCCCAAACCCCAAACCCCAAACCCCAACCCCCCCAAACCCCAAAACCCCAAACCCCAAACCCCAAACCCCCAAACCCCAAACCCCAAACCCCAAACCCCAAACCCCAAACCCCAAACCCCAAAAAAAAAAAACCCAAACCCCAAACCCCAAACCCCAAACCCCCAAAACCCCAACCCCCAAACCCCAAACCCCAAACCCCAAAACCCCAAACCCCAAACCCCAACCCCAACCCCAAACCCCAAACCCCCCAACCCAAACCCCCCCCAAACCCCAAAACCCCAAACCCCAAACCCAACCCAAAACCCCAAACCCCAACCCCCCCAAACCCCAAACAAACCCCAAAACCCCCCAAACCCCAAACCCAAAACCCCAACCCCAAACCCCAAACCCCAAACCCCAAACCCCAAACCCAAACCCCAAACCCCAAACCCCAAACCCCAAACCCCAAACCCCAAACCCCAAACCCCAAACCCCAAACCCCAAACCCCAAACCCAACCCCCAAACCCCAAACCCCAACCCCAAACCCCAAAAAACCCCAAACCCCCAAACCCCAAACCCCAACCCCCCCAAAACCCAAACCCCAAACCCCAAACCCCAAACCCCAAACCCCAAACCCCAAACCCCAAACCCCAAACCCCAAACCCCAAACCCCCCCAAACCCAAACCCAAACCCCAAACCCCAAACCCCAAACCCCAAAACCCAAACCCCAAACCCCAAACCCCAACCCCCCCCAACCCCAAACCCAACCCCCCCCAAACCCCACCCCAACCCAAACCCCAAACCCAAACCCCAAACCCAAACCCCAAACCCCAAACCCAAACCCCAAACCCAAACCCCAAACCCCAAACCCCAAACCCCAAACCCCAAACCCCAAACCCCAAACCCCAACCCCAACCCCAAACCCCAAACCCCAAACCCCAAACCCCCAACCCCAAAACCCCAAAAACCCCAACCCCAAACCCCAAACCCCAAACCCCAAAACCCCAAACCCAAACCCCAAACCCCAAACCCCAAACCCCCCCAAACCCCAAACCCACCCCAAAAACCCAAACCCCCCAAACCCCAAACCCCAAACCCAAAACCCAAACCCCAACCCCAAACCAAAAAACCCAACAAACCCCAAACCCCCCAACCCCAAACCCCCCAAACCCCAAACCCCAAACCCAAACAAACCCCAAAAACCCCAAAACAAACCCCCCCAAACCCCAAACCCCAAACCCCAAACCCCAAAACCCAAACCCCAAACCCCAAACCCCCCCCAAACCCCAAACCCCCAACCCCCAACCCAAACCCCAAACCCCAAACCCCAAACCCCAACCCAAACCCCCAACCCCAACCCCAAACCCCCCCCAAACCCCAAACCCCAAACCCCAACCCCAACCCAAACCCCAACCCCAACCCCAAACCCCAAACCCAACCCCGAAACCCAAACCCAACAAACCCCAAACCCCCAGCCCCAAACCCCCAAACCCCTCAAACCCCAACCCAACCCCAAACCCAAACCCCAAAACCCAAACCCCAAACCCCAACCCAACCCCAAACCCCCAAACCCCAAACACCCAAACCCAAACCCAAACCCCAAACCCCAAACCCAAACCCCAAACCCCAAAACCAAACCCAAAACCAAAAACCCCAAACCCCAAACCACAAACCCCAAACCCCAAACCCCAAACTCCAAACCCCAAACCCACCCCAAACCCAAACCCCAAACCCAAAACCCAACCCCACAAAAAAAAAAAAACCACACCAACCCAAAACCCAAAACCCAAACCCCAAACCCAAACCCAAACCCAAACAGCCAATACCCCAAACCCAAACCCCAAACCCCAAAACCCCAAAACCCAAACCCCAAACCCCAAACACCAAACCCCAACACCCAAAACCCAAAACCCAAACCCCAAACCCCAACCCCAAAACCATCAACCCTCAAACCCTCAACCCTAAAACACTAAACCCTCAACCCTCACCTCAACCCTCAACCCTAAACCCTACCCCCCCCCCCCCCCCCCCCCCCCAGCCAGGCACCCCGCTTGATGCAGCGGAAAGCTGCAGCAATCAGCAGGAACTTTGCCACCTCAGTTGCCCCATTAGGGTTTAGAGGGTGGCTTAGGGTTTAGGGTTTAGGGTTTAGGGTTTAGGGTTTAGGGTTTAGGGTTTAGGGTTTAGGGTTTAGGGTTTAGGGTTTTGGGTTTTGGGTTTCGAGGGTTCTGTAGGAGTTTAGGTCTAGCAGCACTGAACAAGAATGAAACCCCTACATAAACCCAGAGCTACAACTCGAATCTTGAGTCGGTTTTGGGACCATTGGATGTGTCCGGCTGAACCTCACCCATGTGACCTTCCCGGACCTCCCCTAGCGCCTCCACTCGCGACTCCATAACTCTGGCAACTGCGACTACACACGGACTTCCTGAAGAAGCAAGCGTGACCCCCGACACGCGCGCACCATTTTGAGTCGAGAGCCTTGCATCTAAGCCGCAGCAAACTTGGTCCCAGTTTAGGGGGCATTCGCGCGGTGATGGTTGCCCAAGGCATGTATGGTCTTAAAATACGCAGGGCCATCAGCCCTTGAGCTTCGGTTCTTCCCCAAAACTCCGTGAGACATACCGGGGTGCATTGCAGGGTATCGCAAAGACATGGTATATCCTCAAGGTATGTCTATAGGGGCCTTGCCACATGTATACGTACCTCAAATACCAAAAAGAGAAACCCAAAGCTCTCGTGCACTTTACGAGATTAAAAGAGATATCAAAACGGGAAAGGAGAGGGGGGGCGTCTTCCCTTCATAACTTCTTCACTCAGGACAGGATGCTTCGGAGGTAGCACATCCGAAGTCCTCACAAGGAGGGTCCACGTCCTCGAAGTTCTCGGCAGGCTTCCCCTCGAGCCGGCCCTGCCACTGCCAGCTTTCCTCGACTGTCTCGGGAACCTCCATGCCCTTGTCTTCCTCGTTCATCTCGCTGCCTAGGACCCAGAGACCATGTTCGCCAGCAACCTGCGCCACGAGTTGGTAGCCCTTGGCCCTCATCAGGTCGTTCAAAGCCGCGAGTGAGGCCCCAGTGATGTCCCACATGTGCCAGACCGCATCTTCTATGTAGGAGTTCACCTTCTTCTCGTCACTCTTGAAGTAGCTGCTGAACTCAATAGCGACTACACGAGGCCTGAAGCGGCTGAAGTCCAAGGCCTTCACAAGCCAGTAGTCATTCTTGTCCACATCCACCGTGAGAAGGTCGAACTCACAGGGCACTTTGTTCTTCTCGAAGTGGTCGTTGATGTTGTCTGCCGTCATGAAGGCCTGGCGAAGACGCACTGGGGCATCGTCCGGTGCATCGAGGAGTTCCTGCCCAGGGCAGTCCGGACAGGCCCCGTTGGCGGCGCCTCCCGGCGCACCGTCCATGAGCAGACCCGACCAACCGCAATTCATGCGGAAGTGCGCGGAGTTGAGGACCTCTGGCCTACGCGCTCCAAACTCCACAAAGAAGGTGTTCGTGGTGCCTATGGTCCGGAAGATTTGATCCAGATACCTGTCCTGATGGTACTGACTGCAGATGCCCCGCTGCTCGACCCCATCAAATTTGATGACGTCGGTCTTCTCAATCGACGACTTAGGGACCCCGCAGAATTCTTTCCACTCCTCCCCTTTGTTCTCGCAGTTTGGGGCATCGAATGTGCGGGAGCTGATCATCCCCACCGGTTTGTTAATGGACGAAGCACCAGGGTCACGATGTGTAGAGTTGGCTCGTGTCTGGAGTAGGCATTCGGATGCAGCTAGTGCCGGCAGCACCACAGCAATGACGCCCAGCATGGTTCGGATGCCGCGAAGAAGGGCTGAAGGCACGGAGTACGTTACAGTACCGCACTACAAAACCTGCAAGGGCCGCGGCATGTAGCACATAATTAGTTTAGGGCCTGAATACTAAGTCAGGATAGTGCTTTGCTGCCTCCCTACACCTGTGGGATGAAGGGTTTAGGGTTTAGGGTTTAGGGTTTTAGGGTTTTAGGGTTTAGGGTCTCTTTAGAAAACATAGCCTCGGGGCTTGCCACTGAAGTCAAAAACCCTAAAACCTTGGAACCCTCCAAACCCTCTAACCCCTCTTTAGACCCTCAAAAAACCCTCTAACCTCTAAACCCTATACAAACCTTAAAACCCTATACTGTAAAACACACCTATAACACCCTACTATAAACCCTCTATAGCAACCCTACAAAAACCTATAAGCACCCTACACAAACCCTAGAAAAAACTGTATATAATATAAACCAACACCTATAAAACTCATACAAACCCCACTAATAATATTTTTAAAACAAAAAACTACAAAAACAACTCATAAGAAACCCCTACTTGGTGGCCCAGTAACCATATCATAATAAGGGCACCCGTTTTGGGTTGGCTATTTTTATAAGGGAACCCATAAACCAAAAAGAGGGAGAAACAAAAGTACCACTGGGCGACCCCCTAAACCCTAAACCCTAAACCCTAAACCCTAAACCCTAAACCCTAAACCCTATAAAGACCCGCCGGGCTCCAAACATTCGGCTGCACTGGAATCGTCGCCACTGCGCGGCCTGGTCATGTTCAGAGCTTTGGTTTGGGGTTTAGGGTTTAGGGTTTAGGGTTTAGGGTTTAGGGTTTAGGGTTTGGGGTTTAGGGTTTAGGGTTTGGGGTTTGGGGGTTGGGGGTTGGGGGTTGGGGTTTGGGGGTTTGGGGTATGGGGTATGGGGTTTGGGTTTGGGGTTTGGGGTCTGGGGTCTGGGGTTTGGGGTTTGGGGTTTAGGGGGTGGTGACCCTTCAGTTTTGGTCGTGAGGACTGATCCATGATCTCTAAACCCTGGGGGCTTCGAGGGTTGGGGCTTTTGGGTTGAGGGGTTGGACAGATCCTTCAAACCCTTGACCCGATAACCCGTGGGCCCTATAAACCCTAAACTGAAGGGGGTTTAGGGTTTAGGGTGTAGGGTTTGGGGTTTGGGGTTTGGGGTTTGGGGTTTGGGGTTTGGGTGGCACCCTTGAGCTTAGGGACCTTGTTTAAAAATCCCAAAGGTAGCATAAGGGCCACACGCGGAGCATATTAAGGGAAACCTTACTGGGTACAACCTTAGGGATGCGAGTCTTAGTCCCTTGTCAAATCCTATAAAACTGAAAGTCCTAGGGTGTTTAGGGTTTAGGGTTTAGGGTTTAGGGTTTAGGGTTTAGGGTTCAGGGTTCAGGGTTTAGGGTTTAGGGTGGTTACATGGCCCCTCAATAGAGCCCTGACTTTGGGAACCCTGAGTGTACCCATATATACCCTATAAAACCCAGGGCCCATACTTCTGAAACCTATTAAGGAAGGCAGGACCACATCCCTAAACCCTAAACCCTAAACCCTAAACCCTAAACCCTAAACCCTAATGTTAACCTCGTATTATTGAACCCCCTGATATTAAAGTGCGCCAGGGGTCCCGGCCGCAATAATAAAGCCCTGGGAATAAAGTACGCCAAGTCGGGGCTGGTTTTTTTTGGGGGAGTTTGATTGAAGGGAGGCTCTAAGGAAAGGAATCCTTATTCAAAGGGGCCCTACTCTATTTGGGGGGGTTTGATTGAAGGGGGGGGGGGGGGGGGGGGGTGGGGGTTTATTATTACGAGGTCAACATTAAACCCTAACAACCCTGCACCCCAAGCGACAACCTGAACTCTACAGACCCTGCATGTGGTTCGTTTGCCTTACATCCGCTCAAGCTTCAATGGTGGACTCATAGGTTGAGCGTTTAGGGTTTACAGGATTTGGGGTTTGAGGTTTAGGGTTGAGGGTTTGGGGATTGGGGGGTGTAGGGTTTAGGGTTTAGGGTTTAGGGTGGGAACTGATGGGACGCATGGTCTTAGCGTTTAGGATCTACCCCGGCCTAGAACGGTTAACTCGCCAGCACGCGTGAGGCAGTTCATGTCCTCGCATCTGAGTTACCAGGGCATGGCCCTGAAACCCGAAGCCCTTAAGTTAGAGCCCTAAAACCCAAAAGCCCTGAAGCCGTAAAGCCGTAAAGCCCTAATCCCCACAACCCTTGCAAACCTTGAAACCCAAAGGTCTAGAAGTCCTAAGCCCTGGACCGGCCGAAGCCCTGCCTATACTCTCTAAAACCCTAACCCAATCCTAAACCCTTAAAGGCAAATTTCGGTTCGGGGGGTGCTTAGGTGTTTGGGGCAGGGACTCGCACAGGGATTGCTTTTGGGCATGGGTTTGCGTGGAGTTCGGGATTCAAGGTTTCGGGTTTGGCGGGTGCATTCAACATCCTGACAATGAGCAAAGAGCTCTGCAAGGAATCGACGGCTAATGCGGTATAATGGGGTTTAGAGAAATGTGGCGGGAGCTTAGTGATCTCTAGCATCTGCGTGCTCCGGGTCCTTCAGCAGCTTCACCGCAGCCTGCACGGCCTCGCGCAGGGTCTAGGGTTTCAGGCATTTTGGGGTTTACGGTTTAGGGTTTGGCCTCTAGGACTATTAAGGGGAACCGAACCCGAAACCCTTTGCACACCAAGCACCCTAAACCCTAAACCCTAAACCCTAAACCCTGAAGCCGAGGTGTTCCAGGGCCGCAGTAGAAGGCTTCGGAGTTGGTGCGGCCCGGGCCCTAAACCCTCAACCCTATACTACTACTTGCTTAAGAAACCCCAGCAGCAAGTAGTAGTATAGTAGTATAGACCCTAAACCCTAAGCCCTAAACCCTAAACCCTCAGCAACCTTGCCTGTGGTTGCGGGGCAGCCATGGAGTTCGTGAGCATGGAGGAAATCTCAGAGTTCGAGCCCCCGTGGATGACCTCCGGGAGCTCTGGGTGGGTTTAGGGTTTAGGGTTTAGGGTTTAGGGTCTAGGGTCTAGGGTCTAGGGTCTAGGGTCTAGGGTCTAGGGTCTAGGGTTTAGGGTTTAGGGTTTAGGGTTTAGGGTTTAGGGTTTAGGGTTTAGGGTTTAGGGTTTAGGGTGTTCGGCAATGTCTTGGGGCGGGGGGGGGGGGGGGGTAGTAGCCTGTTCTATGAGTAACAGGGGGGTCTGGGCTAGAGTTGAGGGTTCATGGTAAACACGAGACCCTAAATCCCAAACTCTGAACCCAAAGCCTAAACCTAAACCCGAAACCCCAAACCAACAAACAAACCCAAAACTCTAAACTCGGCGGAAGAACGGCTAGCAAACCCCTAAAACCCTAAACTAATCCCTAAACCCTACGATGTTAAGAGTTTGGATCGGGGCATACCTGAACCCTAAACCCTAAACCCTAAATCCTAAACCTTAAACTCCAAAATCCCAAAACAGGCCACGGAAACCCCAAAGCCTAACCCCGAACCCGAAACCCGAAACCCTAAACCCTCAACGCCCGTCCTTCGACTGAAGAACCACTTCCTCCATGGAGGAGGAGAGCATCTGCGGCAGGGGGAACTGGTCGAAGTCGTTGAACTTGTAGCCTGGGGTGGTCCCCACTCGCCCTTCACTAGGGTTTAGCGTTTAGACCCCAAACCCTACACCCTAAACCCTAAACCCTAAACCCTAAACCCTAAACCCTAAACCCCATGTATCTGCAATTTCTCGCAGAACAGGACAGGAACTTCTAGCCCAGAAGTGGTACCCCTAAACCCTAAACCCTAAACCCCAAACCCTAAAGCCCCCATACCATCCACCACCCCAAGCCCGAAAACTTGGTGAAACTGCTCGGGCGTTGCTGTAAACTTTTTGTTTCCCTTTTGGGCAACTACCGACCCCCAACCCTAAACCCTAAACCCTAAACCCAAAACCCTAAACCCTAAATCCTAAACCCTCGGGTTTAGGGAGCTTGTCGTCGTGCTGCAGGGTTTAGGATTCGACGTACCTTACACGGCGTAGGCTGGGCGAGAGGGGCTCCGAAGGGTCGGCGCCTGAACGTTCTAAAGCCAAACCCGGAACAAGCCAAAAAGGCAAATCCGAAGCCTTTAGGGTTTAGGGTTTAGGGTTTAGGGTTTAGGGTTTAGGGTTTAGGGTTTAGGGTTTAGGGTTTAGGGTTTAGGGTTTAGGGTTTAGGGTTTAGGGTTTAGGGTTTAGGGTTTAGGGTTTAGGGCGTGTGGGAACCCCTAGAGCTGAGGGGTTTGGGTTTGGGGTGAAGGCCCGCCGGGCTCGAGCACGAACAACCAACTTCTTGCAGCACCGGCCGCTAGGGAAAAGGTGGACCACTAATCCTTCCTCCGCACAGCGGGGCGGTTTAGGGTTTAGGGCTTTAGGGTTTAGGGTTTAGGGTTTCGGGTTTATAGATTAGGGTTAAGGGCTTAAGATTTAAGGTTCTAGGGTTTAGGATGTTTAGGGTTACCAATTCTTCCACCACATAGGAGGTGATTCAAACTCCAGTGTTCGGATGGGATGATAGAGGGTTCAATCTACCTTTTAGCTGCTGAGGGTTTCCTAAACCCTAAAGCCCTAAAGCCCTAAACCCTAAACCCTCACTACACGCACCCCGCACCCGAAAGCCTGAGCCCGATGCCCAACACAATCCCTATGGCGCTAATGGACCGCCATGGGCCCTCTCAAAACAATCTTCCCCAGGGGTCCATGTACCTCTATAGTCTACACTTGCGCCCTAAAGATACGAAATAGAAGCCCTAACCCCTAAACCCTAAACCCTAAACCCTAAACCCTAAACCCTAAACCCTAAACCCTAAACCCTAAACCCTAAACCCTAAACCCTAAACCCTAACCCTAAACCCTAAACTGTAAGGACCACGTATATACCACATAGGTACATGCATCCTTAGGGCTTCTCAATCTCTGCTGCCTGCATGGGCCGACACTAAACCCCGAGCTTAACCAGCCTATCCGCAAAAAGGAGGGATGGGTGGTGCACGTCCTTGGACCCCTTACCCAGGGAAGGAGGGAACCCCATAAGCCAATTGAGGCCACCACGTGCACCGGGGCCAGTCTCGCAGAATTGCTTGTCCACGGTCGCGGGGAAGGTGGCGTACAGTTGGCCAGAATGCAGACGTGGAGTAGGGGCCGAACTGCGATAGCCACCAATGTGCGACAAGATGGCGCGTTTGGCACGCCAGCGCTTGCCAACCTTAAGTTGTGGGCGCTTAAGGCGGCCGCGTCGGGTCGGGCCGGGTGATGCGCAGCATGTCCAAAATCAAAGAACGAAAGCTACGCCGCTATATGCCCTGTAGTCTCAACGCCTCAACCCTAAAGCCCTAAAGCCCTGAAGCCCTAAAACCCTAAAACCCTAAAACCCTAAACCCTAAAACCCTATAAAGCCCTAAGACCCTGAAACCCTAAAACCCAAAAAACCTAAAGCCCTAAAGCCCTAAAACCCTAAAACCCTAAAACCCTAAAACCCTAAAAACCTCAAACCCTAAAACCCCAAAAGCCCGAAAGCCCTAAACCCTAAAGCCCGAAAACCCTGAAACCCTAAAGCCCTAAAACCCTAAAACCCCAAAACCCTAAAATACCCTAAAAAAACCCAAAACCCTAAACAACCCTAAATAACCCCAAATAACCCGTAAACCCTAAAACCTAAAACCCTAACTCAAAAGCTATGAGATCTGAAAGTCCTGACATCGACCAGCACGGCCGCGTCGCTGGATAGCGTTGGCCTGCAGCTCAAGTCTCGGACACGTTTAGGGCTTTAGGGTTTAGGGTTTAGGGTTTAGGGTTTAGGCTGAGGGGTTTAAGGTTTAAGGTTTTACGATTCAGCATGTCAGACACACCACATCTCACACAGCATCAGGACAGCTATAGACTCCTCCTACAACTACGACTACTCCTGCTTCTACTGAAGCTACTACTCCTAGCCCTAAACCCAAACTAAGCCCTAAACCCTCCTCCTCGTCCTCCTCCTCCTCCTGCTACTCTTACTCCTACTCCTACTACTATACTCCCCCTCCTACTCCTATACTCCTGCTACGCCTCCTTTTGCTCAACACCCTAAACCCTAAACCCTAAACCCTAAACCCTAAACCCTAAACCCTAAACCCTAAACCCTAAACCCTAAACCTAAACCCAAAACCGGCCTTCGTCACCATCTTGGCGTCGAGGGCCGAAATGCCGGTGCCTGCAAGGGCCACTGAAAATTGTGGATTCAGCCCCCAGGTTGGAGCTGGGGGTTTAGGGTTTAGGGTTTAGGGTGTAGGGTGTAGGGTGTAGGGTGTAGGGTTTCAGGTTTAGGATTTAGGGTTTAGGGGTTAAGGTTTAGAGTTTAGGCTTTCGGGTTCAGGATTTGGAGTTCAGGCTTCAGAGGGGGTGCTTGTTCAGGATTGCGAACTAAAGACCCCACGGCGTGAGGATCGAGGGTGCAGTGGGTTTAGCGTTGAGGGTTCAATGCCTCCAGCCTGTTGGTGTAATGGTTGGCTGAGGGCTTGGTTCAGTTTCTGGAGTGGTTTGGGAGTTTGGGACTAGCGGCATCTGGTTCTGGGGAATGGATTTAGGGTTCAGGGTTCTAGCTTCAAGGTTGTTGGTTACCGTCTAGGGCATGGGATTTGCCAGAAACCGAAAGCAGCTATCTGCGTTTCGGCGTTCAGGGCCCACAGGCTTTATAAAGGTCTATAAGGGCTTGAGCGTAGCAATGTTCAGGGCTGTATGGTTGGCGGCTCGGGCATTGCACTGTGCGCCTGCATCATATGTGCGCTCCTTTCTGACGCCGGTGTCGATGACGTAAACAACCTTGGTCTTACGGTCTTGCCACTGCACTACTGCAGTACATGCAAGAGGGGTAAACTACATTGCAAGGAGAATGCCACAATAGAGACCTGAATTAAGCCTCAGTTACCAGCCCCCCCCCCCCCCCCTCCCTTAAACCACCCACAAAAAAACAAACAAACACCGAAACACGCCTAGCCCTAAACCCTAACCCTAAACCCTAAACCCTAAACCCCAAAATGACCACACTTGGGGGGGGGGGGGGGGGCTAGAGAAGACGCCGCCATGTGCAGCTCTGCAACGTCGTCGATGGTCACAGATGCTTCGGCGATGTTCGTGGAGAGGACGATCTGACACAGATGCGCCCCCGCAACTAACAAAACACAAGCACAATCTGGGCTCGGAAGACGGAACACGCGCCTCCTAGACTGTGAAGCCCAAACCCGACACCCTAAACCCTACACCCTAAACCCTAAACCCCTAAACCCTAAACCCTAAACCCCTAAACCCTTAACCCTAAACCCCCTGATCAAGAAGCTCGATAAAAAGAAGCCCTCTGCCTCCTCTGTAAGATGGCGCCTGCGTGACCCTGAAGGTGATCGGCTACTACACCCTAGGTTTAGGGTTTAGGGTTTAGGGTTTAGGGTTCAGGGTTTAGGGTTTAGGGTTTAGGGTCTAGGGGTTTAGTGAGACATTTAGGGTTTAGGGTGTAGGGGTTTGGGGGTTAGGGTCTAGACATTTAGGGTTTAGGCGTTTAGGGGTTTAGGGTTTAGAAATTTAGGGTTTAGGGTTTAGGGGTTTGGGGTTAAGGGTTACAGGGCTCTAAATCCAACAGGACCAAGGAGCCCCCATAGGGTTTAGGGGTTAGGGTTTAGGGTTTAGCGTTTAGGGTTTATTTAGGGTTTAGGGAACCCAGCGCGGGAGGACAAGGGTTGAGTGTTGAAAGTCTAGGACTGCGGGGGAGGCCGGAAAGATTGCTACACTTAAAATTGGGCAGTGAAAACCCCTGCCGATCTCACACCCCAAACCCGAAAGCCTCGACAGCCAAGCCCAACCTGTCTGCCTCGGCCCGTTTACACCCCAAACTTCCTAAACCCTAAACCCTAAACCCTAAACCCTAAACCCTAAACCCTAAACGAGGGTCATTGGCCTCAAAGGGCCTCTTGGGTTTATGGCTTTGGAGTTTATGGGGATCCCATACATCCAAGAACAAGGCCTTCTGAGCATAAGTTCTACGGTTTAGGGCTATAAGGTTTAGGGTTTAGGGTTTAGGGTTTAGGGTTAGGGTTTAGGGTTTAGGGAGTTCTACCCTCAGGCCCTTTAGCAGACTGAAGCCCGTGAGTTTTTGTGAAAAAGTGGGGGTGATAAGGGCCGAAACCAAAAACAATAAATAGCAGTGTTGTAGATTTCGCACGTGCCCTAAACCGTAAACCAAGAAGCCCTAAACCCTAAACCCTAAACTTCCCAAACCCTGTACTTCCTGTCCCTAAACTTCCTCAACCCTAAACTTCCTAAACCCTAAACCCTAAACCCCAAACCCCAAACCCTAAACCCGAAGCAAACAAGGGGTTACCTCTCGCAGCCGGCCTTGCGGAATCCTTCCGGCGGCTTCTCGAAGGCCTTGCGGACAGCCATCGGAGTATACGGGGTTTAGGGTTTAGGGTTAGGGTTTAGGGTTTAGGGTTTAGGGTTTAGGGTTTCGGGGTTAGGGTTTAGGGTTTAGGGTTTAGGGTCTAGGGTTTAGGGTTTAGGGTAAAGGGTTTCGGGTTTGGGGCTTAGGGTTTAGGGCTTAGGGTTTAGGGTCTAAAATTTCGGGTTTAGGGGGTTGGGGTTTAGAGGCGCAAGGTTTAGGGTTCAGGGTCCTCGGTTTATAGTCAGATTCTTTCAGAGCCCGACTTCGACAGACTTAACACCTAATCCCCTAAATTGGGTTTAGGGTTTAGGGTTTAGGGTTTAGGGTTTAGGGTTTAGGGTTTAGGGTTTAGGGTTTAGGGTTTAGGGTTTCGGGTTTAGGGTTCAGGGTTTAAGGTTTAGAGTCTTTTTATGATCAACCTGCCAAAAAGGAGGTTTTTGGGTTCTTCATGTAAACCCGCCTCAGCCCGTCGTTTCACAGTTTTCATGAGGGGCTGAGATATGCTGATAGGGTTAAGGGACTTGGGGCGTATAGGGTTTCGAGCTGTTAAGGTGTGCGCCTAACCCTAAACCCTAAACCCTAAACCCTAAACCCTAAACCCTAAACCCTAAACCCTAAACCCTAAACCCTAAACCCTCCTCTGAAGCCCACAGAGGCATCGGGCTAGCATCCACGGTAGAGAGAAAGATAGAGAAAGAGCGAGCGAGAGAGAGAGAGAGAGAGAGAGAGTGAAGAAGAAGAAGAAGAAGAAGAAGAAGAAGAAGAAGATGATGAGGACGAAGAAGAAGAAGAGTGAAGAGGGATCCTGACATCTGAAAGAGCAATCTTGGAAGGCCGAAAAAGCGAGTCCTGGATTTAATCTGTTTCGCATTCTTTTTGAACCCCAAACCCTAAACTTTCTTAAAACCCTCCACAAGCCCCTAAACCCTAAACCCTAAACCCCATGAAAGGAGAGCACCTCATGCTGCTGCTCCGGCGTCATCAGCGAGTGCAGCGTGATGAGCTTGTAATTCTCACCTCCCAATCTCATGGTTTTTTTTGGGTTTCGGGTTTAGGGCTTAGGGTTTAGGGTTTAGGGCTTAGGGTTTAGGGGTCAAAGGCTTCGGAAAGTATCCTGGAAACACTTCCCTTCCCGCAGCAACAGTATACCACCGAAAGCGCTCAACACCCCTCAAGCCCACCTGGCCTCCTATAAGTGCCTACACTTTGGGGTTCTATGGTCCCAAAACCCTGAACCCCCCCAACCCTACTAAACCCCCTAGACTTGGGATGCCTAATGGGGGTGGGATTATCGTAACCCATCCCCGGGGGGCTGTACGTAGAAGGGGGAACATCCCGAACATCCCAACCCCTAAGCCCAAAACCCGTTTAGGGTTTAAGGTTTCGGGTTTAGGGTTTAGGGTTTACCTAAACCCTAAACCCCACAAAGAAAGCCAGCAAGATGGCGCCTGACTGGTACAGGCGGATGTACGTCTTGGTGATGTCACCCCAGCCTGGGGCTTGGGGGTGCTTCTGCAGGTGAGGATTTAAGGTTTAGGACGGTTTAGGGTTTAGGGTTTAGGGTTTAGGGTTTAGGGTTTAGGGTTTAGGGTTTAATGTCGTATCCTGATTAGTCTGGACCCCTCCAATAATGAAAAGTTTTCCAAAAATTATTCAGGAGACAAAAATTCGATTGCCCCCCCACAATAAAGTAAATTTTTGCGGGCATGGGTTTCGGAAGAGAGAAAAAAAGAGAACAAGATGATGAAAGAAAAGAGCAAAAGAAGAGCATACCTGAGCTTACCTAAGTTTACCTGAGCTCTTACCTTTAGCTTTCATTACTGAGCTTACCTGAGCTTTCCTGAGCTTAGCTGAGCTGAGCTCATCTGAGCTTACCTGAGCTTAATTACCTAAGAGGAGAGGGAGAGGAAGAGGAGAGGGAAGAGGAGCGAAGAGGAAATGAAGAGGAGCCGGTGGGGGGGGCCCGGGGCCGAAAATTAGTTTGGGGGGGTCCCTTTTTTTGGTGACACTATTGCGGGGGTGGATTTAGTTTGGGGGGGGGGGGCCCCCCACACTAATCAGGATACCACATTAGGGTTTAGGGTTCAGGGTTCAGGGTTTAGGGTTTAGGGGGCTTAATGTTGCACCCGCTTTACTACTGTTAGCCGCTAGTATGTGTTTTTTCCGGAAAAATTATACAGGGTCCCCCTATTGACAAGGGTTTCCCGCAATTATGCGAAGTTCGCGGCCCGGGGATGAAGGGTGGGGGGCCGGGGAGCCAAAAACTAAACATAGTTTTGAATAAGAAGCTCCGGAATTTCTGGTGTCCGGCTTGATTCAAGATTCCTTTTAAATTCATCACGCACCAGGCCCACAAACAATGTTCTAGAACCCAGGCCCAACTTTGTGCGCTTGCATCCTTTTCGCTTCCACGGCCAGAACGGCCAACCCTAAACTCTAAACTCCAAACCCTAAACGCCCTAAACCCTAAACCCCTAAACCCCTAAACCCTAAACCCTAAACCCCTAACCCCTGAACCCTAAACCCTAAACCCTAAACCCTAAACCCTAAACCCTAAACCCTGAACCCCTTGTGTGGCACCTGGCAAGAAGATGAGGATCGCCCCGTCACCCTTGGGCTGCTTGTGGTGGAAGTAGTGGACCAACTCCTGGGGTTTAGGGTTTAGGGTTTAGGGTTTAGGGTTTAGTGAGTTTAGGGAGTTTAGGGAGTTTAGGGAGTTTAGGGAGTTTGGGGAGTTTAGGGAGTTTGGGGAGTTTAGGGAGTTTAGGGAGTTTAGGGAGTTTAGGGTTTAGGGGCCCTGGTGACAGTTCCCTTGTTGCTTGCTCCCGAGATGGCCTTTACGGTATAGGCTTTAGGGTTTGGGGTTTAGGGTTTAGGGTTTGGGGTTTAGGGTTTAGGGTTTGGGGTTTAGGGTTTGGGGTTTAGGGTTTGGGGTTTCGGGTTTGGGTGGTTTGGGGGGTGTAGGTCTTTACCTTTGCCGGTCCCGCTTTCTTGGCTTTCGGGCTTATGGGTTGATCTTTCGGATGTACCTGAAGAGCCCAAAACCTACTTTTTGTAGGGTTTAGGGTTTAGGGTTTAGGGTTTAGGGTTTAGGGTTTAGGGTTTAGGGTTTAGGGTTTAGGGTTGAGGGATTGATATGAAGAGCCTGGCCCCCTCAACCCCAAACGCACAAGCATGGGCTGTTGTGGCCTCGACGAGGTCGACGTAGACCTGCCGCTGTGGTCGCATGCTGGAGGGCTAGGGTTTAGGGTTTAGGGTTTAGCGTTTAGGGTTTAGGGTTTAGGGTTCAGGGTTTAGGGAGACACGGATCAGTGTTTTAGGATTGTAGGGCTTAGGGAGCAGGGTTGTTGGGCTGCAGGGCTTCTTTGTCTCGAGTTGATGAAAGGAGTGGTTGGCATCTCTATGTGTAGCCCAAACCCGAAGCGAAACTTGCAAACCCGAAATATGGGGTTTACGATATTGGGGGTACCTATAATTGGGGTCCCCAGTAAACGGGAATCCTACCATTTTTTTTTGGGGGGGGGTGTATTACAGGGTTCCCTATTTTCGTAAACTCCCCTATGTCATTCCGGGCTTGGAGCATGCCCTGAACCTGAACCCCGAGGCTTGCGGTTTATGAAGGTGCTTGTAAATGCAGTGCAACCATGCACAGAAGAGTTTGGATGCTGCGCGTGTCGGTCATGACATTCCTGGTGCCCCTATGCCACGTGCAGTTCATCGACCTAGTTGAAGCCGATGCACACACAACATCTACCCCCGAAGCCCTAAACCTGAAATCCTAAACGCAAAATGCCCCAAAACTCACCGGCCTCGCACTGGCGCCACAAGGCACAAGCCCTCAAGGTGTTGAGGCCTCTGGGTTGTGCAGAGCTCGTTTAGGCTTCGCGGGAATTTCCCTATTTCCCTAGGTAGGGATACCCCCCCCCCCCCCCGGTGAATACACCCCAATCATACCCCAAAGGTATCAAACCCTCATAATCGAAACCCCTACTGCCAGAAAATCCACCTTTGAGGCTAACCCTAGACCGTAAACCGTTCAAAGCACCATTCCTTAACCCCCTCAACCCCCTACAGTAAACCCTAAACCCTAAAACCCGAAAACCCCTAAACCCCAAAAAACCCTAAAGCACTAAACCCCTAACACTCTCAAAACCCTAAACCCCATAAGCCCTGAGACCCTGTAACCCTGAAACCCCTAAACCCTAAATCCTTCTCCCGCTGAACCCTCGTTTGGCTTAAGGTGGCCACCTGACTTGCAAGTTTGTAGGGTTTAGGGTTTAGGGTTTAGGGTTTAGGGTTTAGGGTTTAGGGTTTAGAGTTTAGGGTTTAGGGTTTAGGGTTTAGGGTTTAGGGTTTAGGGTTTAGGGTTTAGGGTATAGGGTTTAGGGTTTAGGGTTTAGGGTTAGGTAGTCGAGCGCCGCAGAAAAGGTGCACCCTGCCTCCCAACCTTAAGGCCTCCAAGCCGTTCAAGCTCTCCAAACCCGAAACTCTCCAAACCCCCACCCCTAACCCTAAACCTTAAACCCTAAACCCTAAACCCTAAACCCTAAACCCCGAACCCTAAACCCTAAACCCTAAACTCTAAACCCTATACAAACCCAGAATTGCACTTGCTGCTTAGGAGCCGTAGGAGTCCGCGCGATCACTGCCCGGCCTTCGGAAGGAGGGTTGCGGGGTTTTGTGTCTAGGGTTTAGGGTTTAGGGTTTAGGGTTTAGGGCGTAGGCTCCTGGGGTTTCGGGCCTCGGGCCTTCCCAAGGCCTACCCAGCATTTGAACCGACATTTCAAAGGGACTCGTGTTGCACCTCCCTTGTCCTACGTAGACTCGGCCGCCCAGTTGCAGTTCCTTTTTTTTTTTTTTGTTGGGGGGGGGGGGGGGGGGGGGGGGGGGATGCCCAATGTTCCCTTTGCCTTGCAACCCTAAACCTAAACCCTTCTGACCACGCAGAACAGAGGCACACAAAGGGGGGAGGGTGGGGCGCAGGTGGGACGGGGGGCGGGGGGCCCTAAACCCTAAACCCTAAACCCTAAACCCTAAACCCTAAACCCTAAACCCTAAACCCTAAACCCTAAACCCTAAACCCTAAACCAGATCATGCCTTTGGGGCAAGGATGCTCCTGTCATTTTAGGGTTCTCAATGTAGCATCTGCTGTCGAGTGCTTCTCTGAAGGCCCATAGTCTAAACCCTTGACCCTAAACCCTAAACCCTAAACCCTGAACCCTGAACCCTAAACCCTAAACCCTTACAGGGTTTATAAGGTTAGCCAACCCGCACGGGCGCCTTCCTTTTGGCGTGTCATCCTTTTTGATCGCCTTCGGAAACCGGTGCAGCCGGAAAGAAACTAGGAATTTCAGCCCAATGAGTCAAAGCGCCTGAAAGACCCCCCCCCCCCCAAAAAAAAAAAAAAAACACCCTGAGAGGCGCTGGCAAGAGTTACCCTAAACCCTAAACCCTAAACCCGAAACGCTAACCCTAAACAAGAAACCCTAAACCGCCTAAACCGCCTAAACCCTAAAGCTCTTCGGGGCGTGGCTTGCGCTTTTTGATCCATAAAAGAAGTCCGGCTTTTCATTGCCATCCATGGGACTGATGGGTTTGCGAGGCTTCCGATTAGGGATCCTGTCCTCCTTCTACTTGGGAGGAGGGTTTGGGGTTTGGGGTTTAGGGTTTAGGGTTTAGGGTTTAGGGTTTAGGGTTTAGGGTTTAGGGTCTATGCTTGTTATTACCCAAGTATAATTGTACTCAGAACTGTACTTAGCCATATTAGGGCACTTAAGGGGTTTAAAATTGGTTCTAAGTACAGTCATGGTTGGTTAAGAAGTACCATGAACCTTCAAGTATCCCTTAACACGAACATGGGCTGACCTGACTGGGATGGTTGACTGCAAGCGGGGAAGTTTGGGTGAATCAAGGGCCATTGAGGAATTCTGCAGCACCTCCCGAACACGAGATTCCATAATCCCCCGTAATCGCCTACAATCCTATAATCCCCTTGGGATCCCCATGCTCCCTTATCATCCCCCAAAGCTCCCCTTCTAGGCTGCCCGGTAACCTAGGCTTAAAGAGGGTGCCCTTTTTATGCTTAAAGGGGTGTATAAGGGAACCTAAACCCCCCAAAAAAGGGAAATAAGGGCACTACTGGGCATCCTAGCCTTGAATGCCCCACACTGCCCCTAATCGAAATGAGCCTCCGACAACAACTCCAGAAGCCGAGCTTCCCAACTTTTGGAATAGCCCAGGAAGCAACATATTCTAACAAGGGCGCCCTTCTTTTGGTTGGCTACTTGATACCGGAACCTTGTACCAAAAAAAGTGGAAGAGTACCTAGATATCTTATCCATCCGCAGAACCCTCCTCCGGAAATCCGCCCTTCGAGAGCCCCCATTTTAGTTTGTTATGTTCTTGTCTGGGTTTAGGGCCGTTTAGGGTTAAGGGTCATACTATCCACAACATGAGATTCCCCCGATTAAAGACTTGCCAATTGGGGCTGCCCTCCGCGTGCTGTTCCTACTCGGGACGCCTACATGTGGGTAGCTCCCCAAATTATACCTTTTGGGCCCCCTATAGAATACGGCTAACCCTAAACCCTGAACCCTAAATCGGAGGACTCCCCATACAAGGCTGCGTACGCAGGATACAAATTAGAGAACTGCAAGATTTGGGGTAAGCAAAATCCCGAAACGGGTTTAGGCCCCATTTAGGGTTTAGGGCTTAGGGCTTAGGGTTTAGGGTTTAGGGTTTAGGGCCAGGGCTTACCAGTTTAGGGTTCTCGTGCCTGGTAGCAGGCCTCAATCTTATCTTCGGCGGCGCCGCCTTGCGTGGGTCCCAAAGCTTACTTCTCGGTTTACGGTTTAGGGTTTAGGGTTTAGGGTTTAGGGTTTAAATAAGGAAACCCAAAAAGTTTAAAGTTCAGCTGTTGGAGAAGTAGGAAAGTAGTCTCTTGGGTTCCATGGTTTGTTTCAAACGGCTGGCGAAATTGGAGCCGAGCCTCATCTTGGCACTAGGGTTAGGGCTGGGAGTTTAGGGTGTATATGGGTCTGGGGTAAACCCTAAACCCTAAACCCTAAACCCTACACCCTACACCCTAAACCCTAAACCCTAAACCCTAAACCCTAAAGGGCTTACGGTATGCATCCCTACAGGGCCCATGTACCCATAGGGTCTATACTTGGGCCTTAAACGGCGTTCGCATATAGTAGCTTTAGGGCCCAAGTATATACCATACAGGTACATGGACACTTAGGCATGCTAAAACCCGAAGCCCTAAAGCCCAAACCCGAAAAACTAGACCCTTGTGTGTGGGGCGTAGAGAGGGTCCGAAGCCAGAACCGCCAAATCGCCAAACCTGCTTTCCGCAAAGGGATCCACGAAGATTGAGGGTTTAGGGTTTAGGGTTTAGGGCTTAGGGTTGTGCGAGGTTGGGCCCCTGAAGCCTCCTCCAGAATGCGGCCCTCTAAGCCCTAGCATAAACCCTCTGAAGAAGATAAGATATGCAAGACCCCCACCAACAATATCCCAAAACCCTAAACCCTAAACTCTAAACCTAAACCCTATACCCTAAACCCTAAACCCCCCAAACCCTAAGCCCCTTTAAGTCTTATGTAAGGGCAACGGTTGAGTTTGGAGGAACTCAATGTCTCTGAGCTTATCAGCATAAAACCCGGAACCCGATAAGCCCTAGACCCTAGAAATCCCAAGATTCGACCCCTAAACCCTAAACCCCCTAAACCCCCTAAACCCCTTGAACCCCCTAAACCCCCTAAACAACCTAAAACCCCCTAAACCCCCTAAACCCCCCTAAACCCCCTAAACCTCCTAACCCCCCCTAAACCCCCCTCGAAACCCCCCCTAAACCCCCCCTAAACCCCCCCCTAACCCCCTCTAAACTCCCCTAAACCCTGCAAAACCAGCAAGCCCTATAAACCCTGAACCCCTCATCCTAAACCCTAAACCCTAAACCCTAAACCCTAAACCCTAAACCCTAAATCATGGACTCGGGGGAGCCTTCGTCTCTGTCTTTGCCCTTCTTTCCCTTGCCGCCCTTGCCAGCGCCCTTGTCCGGCGGGCAGAAGCCAATCCACTCGCAGGCATCCTCCAATGGTAGGGTTTAGGGTTTAGGGTTTAGGGTTTGGGGTTTAGGGTTTAGGGTTTGGGGTTTAGGGTTTAGGGTTTAGGGTTTAGGGTTTAGGGTTTAGGGTTTAGGGTTTAGGGTTTAGGGTTTAGGCTTTAGGCTTTAGGCTTTAGGCTTTAGGCTTTAGGGTTTGGGTTTCTCAACTTCCAAACCCTCCAAAATGGCCCTTTAAATCCTGAGGCCAAAACCCTAAACCGGATCTTCGCGCTGAAGTTACACCGAGCTGCCCCTGAAAGGGGACGGGGGGAAGGCCTTCGTGTGTCGGGACACCTAAACCCTAAACCCTGGACCCTCAACCCTGAACCCTAAAACCCAAAAATCAAAACTGCAGATGTGTAGGGTTTATAGCTCCAGCCCATTGTTAAGATTACACCAATAATAACAGTTGTAATAAGATTATAGTAGGGTACCCTAAACCCTAAACCCTAAACCCTAAACCCTAAACCCTAAACCCTAAACCCTAAACCCTAAACCCTAAACCCTAAACCGTTGTAATAAGATTATAGTAGGGTTTATAGTTCCAAGGTTCAGGGGCTCGGGGGCCGAGGTCTCACTTCTGGGCTCTTGTACTAGGCTGCCCAGTTAGGTTTAGGGTTTAGGGTTTAGGGTTTAGGGTTTAGGGTTTAGGGTTTAGGGTTTAGGGTTTAGGGTTTAGGGATTCCTAGGCTTAGGCTTAAAAAGGGTACCCTTTTTTGCTTAAAGGGGTTTAATAAGGGAACCTAAACCCCCCAAAAAGGGAATAAGGGTACTACTGGGCATCCTAGTGTAATTCGTGCACCCTAAACCCTAAACCCTAAACCCTAAACACTAAGATTCTTTTGGAGTCGCTGGCTTCACTTGTGGTTTCGGCGTTTCGACAGCACCTCATTGCTGCCACAGCAAAAAAGTTGGCACAGCTCCCCGCTGCACAGGCATGAGCATTCTGTTTAGGGTTTAGGGTTTAGGGTTGAGGGTTTAGGGTTGAGGGTTTCGGGTTTAAGGTTTAGGGTGAGGCTAGCATGAGGGTGCTGCTCTAGGTGGGTAGTATGAGGTAGAAAGTCCCATACTTGTTACAGGTCTCATGTGGTTCGTCCCAGGGGCACTTATTCACGTCTGCTGTCGTCATCACAACGATGCAAGTAAACATGTCTGCTAGATAAGTCCGAAACTCCTCTACGCGCCCTAGGCCCGAAAGCCTACACCCGAAAACTTAACGCCTAAACCCTAAACCCTCTTCTGTATAATTCCTCCGATAGTGCCCCGCTCTTTTGGGCAAACACCCTAGAAAAAGAAGCCGAGAAGTCATGGAGCTGGAGCGAGGGGGATGCCAAAGGGGCACAAGGAGGGACCTCTAGAAGGCACCCTTCTAGTCTTATCCCCCGATATGTCCCCCCATAAACCTTCTATCGTCCCTGTATGCCCGAAGTAGCCCCGACATGTAACCCCAAGTAACCCCTTGTAAGGGTCCCTCCTTTATAGTCCCCCGAGCAGCCCTGGGCCCGAAAACGTACGGAACTTAGGGCTGGGGTCGGCTCTCGAGCAAAGCCTTTGAGAAGCCGAGGCACCACCTCGAAACCTAGACTCTAAACACTGCAGCCAAAAGCTCTGAACACCCTACAATCTTAGGGTTTGGGGGATTTAGGGCTTAGGGTTTAGGGTTTAGGGTTTAGGGTTTGGGCTAGCCCTACTTGAAATCTTGCTTTCTGAGCTGCTGGCAGGAGGACAGAAGGCTCAAGTGCCCGAGCTAACTTATGCTAAAATCCTTTAGCCTTGAAGTTTAGGGTTTCGGGGTTTGGCCCTAAAAAACCCCTAAGCTCTACACACGAAACCCAAACAACATCCTAAGCACTGCACCCTAACCCCTAACCCTAAACCCTAAACCCTAGACCCCTAAAGCCCCAAAGTGACCATCACAGGTGCCGGCTGTTTCGAAGGCTGGGGGCCGCGAGATCGGATTTTTTCCACACGCGCCCCGGGCTGACAAACAAATTTCCGAGTGTTTGGATCAAGGATTCAGGGTTTAGGGTTTAAGGTTTAGGGGGTTGGGTTCCAAGGCTAGAAACGTCTGGAAGATCATCAACTGCTTCTCCGTGATTTTGGTGTTTTTGTCTAGGGCTTAGGGTTTAGGGTTTAGGGTTTAGGGCTTAGGGACTCTCTGCCAGGCGAGATATGATGCGAATCTGCGTCCGTTTCCCGTTGGGTTCCAGGATAGATGCCTAAACCCTTAGCCCACACTAAACCCTAAACCCTAAACCCTAAACCCTAAAAAACCCTATACCCTATACCCTATACTCTAAGCCTAAACCCGTATGGCGGTTTAGGGCTTAGGGCTTTCAGTTAGTGAAAGGCTAGGGCGTCGCAAGTGCTTCTGTCCTTCTAGGGGAAGGGTCGCAGATTCATCCAACTCTGCCCAAGGTCTATCAGCTTGGTTGTTGGCGCACGTGCCTGTGCAACTCCTTGCCTAAACACTAAATGCTGCTAAACCCCGGAACATAAACCCTAAACCCAAAACCCTACATCCTAAACCCTAAACCCGAAACTAAGGAGCCAGATTCAGGCTAGGATCACAAGAGGGCTCCTAGTAAAGTACATCGCCTGCGAGCACTGAGTGCACAAGCTGGCGGCGACTTGCCTGGGGTCTAGGGCTTAGCGGTTTAAGGGTTTAGGGTTTAGGGGTAACTATCCGACAACAATGCTGATACCCTCTCTGGCAATCCGTTCCTTCAGGCAGATCAGGTTTGATGTGCGAGCTAAGCCCTGTAAACAGAGCCCTAGAAAAAAGAATCGACCCTAAACCCTAAACCCTAAACCCTAAACCCTAAGCCCAAAACCCTAAACCCTAAACCCTAAACCTTAAACGAGGAGCCAAAGAACACGCGCACCTAGGCAGGTGGGGCGGTTGCGCCTGCGAGCAAGTCGGTGGCGCGTCAGCTTGGCCCACCGATGTTGCAAGCAGGTCGTTGCCCCACCCCCTGCTGCATGTGAGGTAACGAAGGAAATCCTATGGAAACCTCGAAGAGGGAAGCCCCAGAAAAAATGGCATCTTTACCGTGCGAATGCAGATAAGCAGGGCCACTGCATTTTTACTATGTACCTACGCTTTTGTTGGGTTCCAGGTGGAGGTGCCCATGCATTTTCCTCTGGTAGCCGGCTGCTTAGGCCAAAAGTGGAAAGTGGCCTCATATAGCAATATTCCCTAAGGGTCCATGTACCTAAATAGAAAGTACTTCCTATTTAGGGACTGTGGGGCATGGACCCTTAGGGACTGCAACACTCCACGAGCTTGGCCGCCTTTGCAGTCTTGCTGGCCAAGCCCGACACATCCCTTCAACAAGCGTTTGGTCGGCCCTGGTGCCCCCGATGAACCCCTTGCAGTCACCGAATGACTGCAGGCTCCCTATAGGCGTGGGGTTTAGGGTTCAGGGTTTCGGGTTTAGGTCCCCAAAATCGAGAATTTCTAGGCCCATTAGACTCTAACTCCACACTTCGTCTATGGCAGTTTAGGGTTTAGGGTTTAGGGTTTAGGGTTTAGGGTTTAGGGTTTAGGGTTTAGGGTTGGTTTAGGGTTTAGGGTTTATAGGGTTTTAATTAGGGGCCCTCAGCCTCCAACTAACCCGAGTATTCAGCCTAGAAGCTAGTCTTAGTAGGGGAAGGAGGGAAGTAGTCACCTTCTATCCCCCTTATATACACCCCTCATTCCCTACCGAAACCCTAACCCTAAACCCTAAACCCTAAACCCTAAACCCTACACCCTAAAGTGAACTATCGAGTCGGCGGAGGGCCTGCTCTGCAGATTTCTGAGGGAAAGTACCACGCCCAATAGTACTTTCCGTATCACAGGAGCCTCATGTCAAAACGAAGACGCTGGAAGCTTTCCTGAGCAGGAGAAACACTCGACATCAAGACCGACATTTGTTGGCTCCCCTAAACCCTAAACCCTAAACCAGGGTCTAAGCATCGACGTACAAACACATTCCCTCAGACACTGGGCTCAGCTGACCGAGGCCGTGAAAGTGTAGGGCGATGCTTCAGAAGCATCAAGTAGCAGGATACACGACACGAATTCATTACCACGGCTCCTTACCCCGCCCTTGAATGTCCGGGCTCGCTCCTAAAAAAAGGGGCGCTTTCCGAATATCACAGGGTCTCACCATCCCAAGCCACCTTAAACCCTAAACCTAAACCCTAAACCCGAAACCCGAAACCCTAAACCCTAAACCCCCACAGCTAAATATAAAGCCAAGCATCATCCACTTCCGGAAAGCCAAGGTGGCTTACCTTGGGGACGACATGAAACCTACAAGGGCTCATTATGGTTCATATACCTCAACAGGAATTATAGTAGTACAGGGCATTCTAAAGGGTTTATGGTTCATATACCTCAACAGGAGTTATAGTAGTACAGCGTACTCTAAAAGGGTCTATGGTTCATATACCTCAATAGGAACTATAGTAGTATAGGGTACATGACCCCCCCCTCCCCCCCCCCAATTTCAGGATTCCTTTGGTCGCCAAGGTACCATTGACGCAATGGTCATGTGCTGCAGACCTCGCTCGAGGTTGTGGCGCTCCTGCAGCAGCACATGCGCTTGGCGGGGGCTTTCTACACCTGCATCCTCCACCTCCCCCCCCCCCCCCCAAACCCTAAACCCTAAACCCTAAACCCTAAACCCTAAACTCCTAAATCCTAAACCCTACCTTTAGGGCTTTAACGTTTAGGGTTGCAAAGCTAGGGCTTTTCGCAGGCAGACGCCTGCTGAAGCAAGGCGTCCAGCAAACGATTGGTTGATTGGGTTGATTGATGAGACTGAATTTCGGGTTTAGGGTTCAGGGTTGAGGGTTTGGGGATACATCGAAGAGTCTTGTAAGACTCTGCCGATTCCTCCAGTATGGATTTCTCCAGGCGAGCCAAAAACAATGTTTGCTCCCAGTTTACCCTGAAACCCCCAAACCCGCAACCCTAAACCGTAAATTCCCTTGCC